TAATACATGTGCATGCGTGCTCTTTCCCATCCCTCAGTCAATAGTGTATTTTTTCACACAATGACAAAATGACCTGGCCACCCTCATCTCAGGGTGAAAAAAGTGAAATCTAAGACAAAAATAACTATAGGTTTAATGTGATTGCCTACACGAGAGGCTTAAGTTAAGCCACACAGCAAAGTTAACATCAGGTAAAGGATGGTCAAGTTATCACCCAGTACGTGAATACGTCTTCACCGCATGTATCAACAGCACTCGGCAAACATCACTGATACACACACAAATGATGGTAAGAGGGATAAAGTGGAAATATCTAAAGACGCCATGATTCCTCGGTCAGCCCTACAAAACCAATGTACAAACATATCCCGGGATCTCTGGCTACATCCTTCAGCCACTTGCGCAGGATCAAAGAAACACTCTTCGTAAAACCTATTGTGATCAATCTATTGGCTTTCTTCTTACAGAGCCTACATTTCCGTAAAAGCACTTGAACTGAAATGTACACCTACAACTTGTTCTGCTGGAAATTCTGAGAACTTTTTCATATGACTGAATTTTCTGCAAATAAACACATCTGGCTGTCATTATGTAAAGGGAATTTTTACATTTTGCTGTATATATTCAAATTATCCTATTTCAAGACCCCATATAATATATGTCACAGAACATATATATATTTATTACCGAGTGAGTTAAGAAAAAGGATAAATAATTGGAAAGAACATAGTTTCCAAGCCCTTTGAATCAGGTACAGGATAATAACTTGAAAGAGAACTGATGATTTATCCCAGGCCTGAGTGTATACTTCCCAGCAGAAAATCCCATACAATAAACACATCCCTTCCCTTGTTCACCACAAAACAAAGAAGCACACAAAAGTCACCTGTTTGCCGTATTAACACCCCTTTGATGGCATTATGTTCTCCAGTTCTCATTTCATAACAAAAATGGCATCAATAAAAATATGAAACCCTATGCAAAACGGGGCTCAGTTTGAAGGGAATTCTTATGCCATTTCCTCCTCATTGCTTTCCCACTCTTTAAGATATTTTTGTTTGTATTGATATCATAACCCCTCGACACTCTGAACTATTCTGATGAACACGCCCAAACGCACTTCACAGTGTGCCGATGCCCGTGGGGGTTCTAACAGGCAAGATTTGCGGCCCAATTTACTTCCATTTGGTTTGTATTCCGGTCCACAAGTCGCTAATAATGACATCATCAAAGTTTGTCCAACAGAGGGCTTGGTAAAGAGAAAGGCTGAATGCTGCAATAGAGACCTGCCTTCAAAAGAGGTCTCCGTACCTCAATGTCTCCCCACACACCTGTGACACTTACTGAAGCTTACCCCCATCTTGCAAAAGTTCAGTTAAGTGCAATTTGGACCCATTCAATGTATACATGTGTGTAGTATATCACTGCATATAAGGGTGCATCAAGCCCAGTGTTTTTTAAAAATCATCAAAACTAAGCACCCATAGACCTACAACAAAACCAACACTCCTATAACATAGAAACAACTTAGGATATAATTGGCACTATGATCAATATCTACCACCTTTATTGTGCCCTGAACAAATAGATTACTTATCAAAAACAGCATGCTCCAGAAGAAGACAAAAACAGGTCCTTGTTTTCAAGATTTCTTTTCATTTTTAAAACACACACATGTTTACTCCAAAGCATCAATGGTTTTCACAATTTATTTTTTTTGGCTGATGTCACGAATACCACAATTTCACTATCCAATATCTCCATTGGCTGAGAGAGCCTGGTTCACTTGGCTAACTTTCATCTGACACTTCATTGTACTTTACTGTAATCTAATGGTAAAAACTGAAAGGGATTAGCCAAATGTTTTTTTTTTTTTGTCACAAATGGCGGCTTTTTACTCATGACACATTGCAAGTAACAACAAAGTGAAGCTGGTATGTCATTTAATACTGCCAACATTAACAATTACCACAAGTTCCATGGTGGAGGAAACACTAGGGTCTTCATACTGAGAACTGAACTTGATAAAGAGAGGAAACAATGTAACAAGTTTGGAAATAAAACCATGCCCCAGAGGTGTAAAATGACTACAGTTGAACAAAGCCAAGAGAACTGGAGTAGTTGGAAGACAATTCACAAAGAGTTATCCATTATAATTGCTTTAACAAACCTTCACGAGTGTATGGTGTGAAGTATTAGATGCACATTCTAAATATAAAATAACATTCATATTTACATTGACTAACTAGTAAAAATATCAATTGTGTTTAATTTATTTAGGCTGGAATATTATATGTCTCATAGTGCTTGAGTCTGGTATTGATTTTTCTTAAAAGTCACAAAAAAAGTAAATTACATATTAAAGCAATCAAAAAATGCCATGCCCCATTTCAAAAGAAAAAGTACCATACAAGTATGTGTAAATATGATTGTCACAATAAACAATGCTCCTCATTAAGTATCCAGCCTCCAAAATTAATTGTCATGCACTACAATTATTTTCAAGCAAATATGTATCTATGACTCCAAATTCCAATCCCCATAAACAATTTTTTTAATAATTAGTTAAGATTTCCCATTCATCTGTAAGGGCTTCAGATACACCTGTACCAGTCTGGCATGAACTTTTCCTGCTTAACAAACTTTCCAATCACACATGAAGGCTTGGCATGCAGCCCCCCCCCCCTTCCTGCCCCCCCCCCCTTCCCCAATCAAAGGCTAGAACAAGAATGCATGTAATCCACAATGTCAGTCATGTCAATTCCCCAAATTAACCAGGCTTCCAGGTATTCCAAGCTTCCAATTATTCTCCAGTACACTTCCAAACCTGGCACATGCACCAGCACAGGTGAGACCTTATTAACAGAGGAGTTAAAAGGTGGTGTTAAGGGTCAGTGGATAATTATTAAACGATTCCATTATTCTTCATTTGTACTACCTGCCTTGTAAAGGCACCTAATAAGTGCAGTTTTCACTGAACTTGGACCCTGTGCTGACTCCACATATATTAGGACTGAATAGAAGCTGTGTTAAGTGGTGCAGTAATCTGCTTGGATACAGAGATACAGGCACACAGCTCATCTTCAGCAAAAGAAAAAAAGATGCAAAACTTTGTTCTAAGGTTAAGAAAATACTAATTAAAAGTGTATTTGCAACAGCTTTGCCTCTGCCTGTTTTGATAATGCATTGTTTTGTAGGTATCAGTGGCTCATAAGAGAAATTAATTCACTGATACCGATATATATATTTCAATTAGTAACCTCTTGCCATTAATTGAACAATTTTACTTGAATTTTTCCCCAAGATAACCAACTCTCTCTCTCTCTCTCTCCCTCTCTCTCTCTCTCACACACACACACACACACACACACACACACACACACACACACACACACACACACACACACATATGCATGCATACACACACACACACATATGCATGCATACACACACGTACATACACACATGCTTTCAAACCTCCACCTACCAGCCCAGACTTATTCCTGAGAACAGCAGGGTAGGAAATATATGACATAAGGCTACATGTGTCCTGCCAAAATATAGACACTGCCAAAATAAACTTGTACTAATACATACATCTCAGGTGTGTATGCTACTGATATCTACCAAATGAACTTTTTTTTCAAAATTATCTTTAAAGGGGACACCAAAATAAATATTTAAAGTTCTAAACACAAATTTGAGAGATATGATGATTAGGAATTAAGGCATAATTTTGATTATAATTTTCAACCATTTGTGCCATTATAGTTATATGCCTGAACGGTATTTAGCAAACAAAACATTTAAAAATCATTCCTTTGCCACCCTCAAATTGTTCTCTACCCCATGAAGGTTATTTCTTGATTCACTTATATCATTAAAAAGATATTTTGAAATAAAACTTTGCTGAACAAACTCAACATATGCTGCTTCTCATTCTAGTTTATCACCAGACGTACCTATTTTGGCAGAAAGACGTAACTATTACAGAGTGACACATGTACATGTAACACACAGATGTGCATTCCACTGCTTCCGACACTTTCACATATTTTCTGCTAAGTATGTGGTTTAAAAACCCAAAATTACATGTCATGACAACCTTTGCATAATCCACAGCCTGTGCTGCTATTACATTTTGTTTATAAACACTGCAGAAGCAGACAGGCAGAAACCAGCTGTGAAAAATTTAGACTGTGCCTTACTGAGACTGAACATACATCCATCACCCTGAGTTCCTAAGGGTATTTACCATCTTTACTGAGTTTTTGGATACATATAGACATTATAAGTATAAACTGGTGTCACTGCTAACCCAGGGTGTAAAATAAGCTGTTCAGGTTGTGAGATGAAATATGTGCTAACATTGAAAAGGTTTTTGAGGTAATCAGTTGTATATGTGACTAATAATGCATTGTAACCATGTTAAAATAACATTGAGGTTAAAGCCATCATGATAGCCTATTTCAATAAAAAAAGGAGGGGGGGGGGGTCCAAACAAATGGAACTTGTGTTCATGGCTGGAAAAAGATCTTCATGTCCACCTCATCCTAAAAGTTCGATATAAAATTATCCCCAACTTATTGTTGAAATGTTGATTGTGTTCACAGCAAAAATGCCAGAATTACATAAAGATAAAAAAGTTCACATTTCTACAAAACATCTGCTACTGTCTGACAATGTGCAACACAGACTGATAAAAGCTCCATCTGATATGTATCATAAGTCCTCTAAAAATAATCTGAAATATCACATGTAAAAGATGCCCATCTGTTATTGTACAGTCTCTACTCATCTGTGTACATTCTGATAACCACTTTAAAATTGGCAAAATAAGATGTTGTTATATGTTTGTAAATGTTACTGAATAATTCATTTATCTTATAACCAACAGAATATTTGATAAATACAGCAAAAGAAAAAGACAATCATCTCATCAAAAATAAACTGTCAACATTATCTGCCTTATCTTACTATCATTTTTTACTTCATTTTAGCAAAACTATCAATCAGAAGCCAATAAAACTCCAATACTGGGAAAAGACATAGGGCAAGCAAAAAGCTTATCATCTGTTGAAATGAACTGATATATATCACCTGCTACAAGTTAGGATCTCATTTCAACACCATGAGCCAAAACTGAGGTAACACTACCACCCAAAGACTCTAAATGACTCAAAGGTCCTGTAATTCAACAGTAATACTGCCTTAAAACAAAGTCATTAATTATCAACCGGTAAAATAATGATCACCTTACAGCACATATTAGCAATCAGCATTCTTTTAAGAGAGCAACTGAAAAGTGCCACAAAAGTTAACTACTATTTTCATGTATGAAACAATTTTTCTTTTCAGCATACTTTTCAGTTAAAAAATGTTTAGCTAAAAAGAATTGATTTGCCTGTCAATCTACTTCAAGGGTTCCTAATCTAATGAACTGAAGAGATATGAAGTGTCAAGCATGCCAAGTCACCCTCGTTAACCCTATGGACAGTATGCCTCACCAATGACACCGCGACGCCCCGAGTTGAGATCTAGTTGTGGTTCTGGGGCTTAATATTATGTGACTCAGCTCTGGCAACCTAATCTAACCTTTCACACAGCAAAATTACTCTTTCATTAAACAATGTCCTCATAACTTTCAGTGACTTTAACAACTTCTTAACCCCTACTAGGCACAAGTTTGTTTGCAATTGTAATCGAGGGTGAAATTGGCCTACTGAGTCAAAAAAAAAAAAGTTTCATCGAGGTAGCACTGAGCAGGATGAGAGGAGAGAAGTTCACATGGTTGCTTATATGAAAGCCTCTAAACTGGTCACAAGCTGGTCAAATGCACCAACATGGTATTTGGCAAGATTCTGTCATCTAGGCAGCTAATCTTTCAAAGCCAATACTGAGTTCACCCATTAAACACTAAAGAAGTAATTTCTTTTATAATTCACATGTATAAAGAATCTAGACCAAATTAACTGTAATACTCTGTAATCCTGTAGTCAATGTAATGGCAAAAAAGTTAGTTAAGATCCTTATAGGGGTTAAAAACAGGCTTTGTTACAGATAAAGAGTACAAAATTAAAAGTAGAAGAAAGAAAAGTAGTAGAAGAAAAAAAAACTAGAAAGGAGATAATCAGCTCGTTTGAAAAATTACTGCTGAAACTCCAATACATTTTATTCCAAAATTGTGCCTTGGGACTTTAATTTTATAATAGAATGCAACAGGAATGTGTTACAAGAGCTGTGAGCCAATATTTTTCTATGCCAAAGGTAAATCAAACCCATGATGTGAACTGGCCATGAATCATAATGGCTAACATTGAAACTATCAAAATTTAAAGTTTGGACCTTTAAAAAAAAAAAAAAAAGAAAAATTAACCCCATGAATCTACCTTGTATCGTATGGCTCCAGTGTGTGCTCTGCTGTAAGAACTTGGCCACTTCCACATGCGGGACCTCGAAACCAATGACGACATGCTAAAAGGAAAAAAAGAACAAAAGTTGCATCAGATACATTTCCAGTGGAAGACAAACCTACAAAAACATTTACAATGTATCAGGACTCCTCATCCCATCAAGCTGAAAGTTTAAATAAAGCCTAATTATCCATGTGCTAATTGAAAACTAAAACCCAGTGTAAAAACAAGACGAAATACTGTTATCAGCAGCAGTAAAAGAAACTACAAAAACAATGGCTATCTTGTATCAAGGCCCTTACAGCCAATCGCCAGATGCTTTAAAAGTCTGCTGATCAAGACTTATTGCAAAATTACGCCTATAAAAAGAATAGAAATATCGTATCAGGGTCCTACAGTCCACCCCTGAAGGAGCTCCTTGAGTGCGCCCCAAGCCAAGCTGTCACAATGAGTGTACTATGTATAGAAATTTGCTAAAACTTCTTATATGGATGGGGTGCCTGCTCTGGTAACCCTGCGCCAAACTTACACTAAAAGCGACCAAATGTAATTTTCTTTTGTCCTATTCCATTACTACATAGAAACAATGTGTGAAATTCACACTTTCCACTGTGGAGCTTTTTCTCACTCAGGCGGGATTTGTTCGCTAGGGTTGAAAGGCGTCTACATTACAATTGCTGCTAGCAGCCAACAGAAAGCCTCCACTAAAGAGCTTGTTCAATGGAAGAGCTCTTGTAAAATTGTGCAATTTATAAATATTTGGAAAAAACTACTTTTGATTTCAAAAACCTCCTTTTGCGAACATTAAACACTTCATGAAACAAATACAAGCTAAGCATTTTAAGTGTTCTTTTTCTCAGAACATCAACCTTCAGCTGCTGGAAACAAAACACTTCATGATGGAAATTGTAAATAATTTTCAACTAATGCAATTCAAATGACATAAGGACCAATCAATGGCAATAGGCATTTACCAACACAAAGTTTCAGAACTTTTGGTTAGAGAAATAAAAAAAAAAAAATAATTGTAACAAAATTCCATCTCAGCAATATATATATAGATATTGAAGTTGTTGAGATATCCAAAGACACCTTCTTCAGATAAGTTGTAATACTAACATTGAAACAGGTTTGCAAAAGCCAGCAGATCCAGAAAAGCGTTAAACCAAATCTCCTGCATCTCTGCAGCACTCCAGGCAACCAAATCAGGGAGCTCATTTTATTTTCTTTTCAATTTTCTTTCCCTTGTCTTTTTCTTCTATGTCAATTTCTTCAAAGAAGAAGTCCAGCCATTTGAGACAACAGAACTGATCAAGGCAAAACAAATAATAAAGTTGCCATAGAAAGTTGCAACACTCAAAGTCTGATATCCATATTTTAGAGGGTGATCCTGCTCTGCTCAGTTTCAAGGATGCCACAAAGATTCTCGTATCAGCTTACAAAAATAAGCAAATAATGATAAAAATTGTCTTCAGACAACATCCATGATCAGCAAAATAAATCAAGCCTTTTAATATCTTATTCTTCTCTTATCCGTCAGCTCTTGCAGTACTGATGCTTGCAAAATTTCCAATATTTGGAGAGTAACTTTTTCTCTTCTGCTTGTTCTCTCACAGACACTAGTTGGCTGCCCACAGTGTAGATATCCACACACACCACTCACTCCAACCATTCAATGAATGAACACATTTGTTAAAGCAGAGGTGGTCTAGTGTGCATTTTGAGAATACCATGAAAAGAGACTTGACCAATCAAAACCTGCTGTCCACTTCACTGACCAATCACAAGAAAGGCATCAAATCTGGAGACCAAAGGGGTGGGGCCTGGCTGTCAATCACCTAGAGTATATAATACTACCTCTATTCAAAGACTCTTTTTATGTACTATTATTGGTAAACAAATTGCTTCCTCTGTAAAGAAACTCAGCACTCATTTTACTACACCCTGTAATACTGTCTCATGCTTTTACGCTCACATAGTATTCCACCTGCAATAACTAATCTTAGTATTCATTCACCTTCACAAAACCAGACTTATGCGCCTGTGTAGCATAAGAACAAAAAATCTGTTATCAATTCAAATTAATTCACAATAGAGATAAATTGTAATCTAATGGGGATAAAATGAAAGAAATGTGGTTTTGTTCTTGTGCTGTTTCTTTTTACTCAGTAAAACCTCTGCTGTAATGTATACTGTGTGCAGTTACATGATATGATACATGTACAAAGTATATATATATATATATATATATATATATATATATATATATATATATATACATATAGTACCTGTAGTGCTAATTCAACACTGTCTGATGTGCCTCTAGGCCTCTAACCAAAGCCAACCTCAACCAATTAGCCTTATTCATTAATTAAGGATAATAAGTTCACCCCTTTTAGCATCATCATAACACAGGCAATCTTTGGGTAATTCTACTTATGGTAGGGGCTTAGAGAATTCCTCTCATAAATGGAATAGAGTTAGTCAGTGGTGAAATGTGTGTGTGTGTGTGTGTGTGTGTGTGTGTGTGTGTGTGTGTGTGTGTGATTATGCATGGATACATGCACGTGTATATGCAGATGCATGCGTGCTAGTGTAACGTGTATGCACGCATGTGTGTGTGTGTGTGTTTGTGAAAGAGAGAGAGAGAGAGAAACAAAAGGAAACAAGCAAAAACAAAAAGAGGAAAATTAGATAAGTATCAACCACTTATACAACAGACACACTTATTGAACATCAACAAAACAGATCTCAAACCAATCCACCATAATCCCCATCCATGTTTCCACCCATCCAACACATGTGTACAGTTTATACAGCCCCAGACAAACTCGCCAGAACACTTGTACAGACATTACCTGCTGTTGTCTCCAGTAATTGGAAGAAACCAGTAAACTCACCACAATCACTGCAATCCACTAGGAGAGCATGACATGGCAGCTAACTTGTCACAACTGAGCATCTCAAACAGACGTTTACTTGACCAACAGTTTGTCTGCAAAAACTGGGGATGACAGACATACAGACGGAGGAACAGGGGCGTTTTGAGCTACTCTGTTTTTTAAATCCTTTTTCAGATTAAGCCAGAAAAAGCGACAGAGAAAGGCTAAACTTATAGACTATGACACAAGAAAGGTTTTCTGTTTAAAAGTCTGTTTTTAAATTTGTTAGAAAAAGGGACAATTACAGGGCCTGTTATTGTTTCAACAGTAGCCAACTTAAAGCACATGCATTATGTATGATGGGTCCAAGTTAAGAGTTTATTTATTTATTTATTACTAAAACTTTTTGTCCACGCAAAGCAGGTACAATATATTACAGTGTGTATAAATTTAAATATTGTTCACTGACCAATGTGATCTCTCTCTCTCTTTTTTTAGAAAAAAATAAGCACGAGAAAAGTCTATGTCAATGCAAGCTGAGGATTTTCGTGACTGTTCATTCTTTGCTGTGACAGAGTTTGTAAGAATCCAAGCAAGGAATAATCTCATTTATTATCTCACCCACACTTCAGGACAATAGTCTGTAAAAAAAAAAAAAAGAAAAAAAAGAAAGAAAGAAAGGAAAAAAATAAAAAAATAAAAACAAAGGTTATTTGACTGCCTGGTCTCCCAAAATTAGTCAAACAAGGGAATATTACAGTCCAAACAGTGATTATCTAACCAACAATTTGTCCAGAGAAAGTAGCAGTGACAGCAAGATGGCAAGGGTCAGTTTTTACATCTGGTACGCCTGGTCAACTGGTCAGCCATTAGTCTGGACAGCCGTTGGAAGAAACAAGAGGCTGAGACATAGTATGTTTAACTCAGCCAGGCATCTGACTTTATTTTCTCAATTTATTTCTCTCATTTCAGACTGTTATCAGTTCCACTGTTGATTGAATAATTAGCTTTTCCATTCTAATCGGTCTCTTTCATCTTATTTTTCGTCTCAGCACAGACTAGGAGCCCTCTTATACCACTTTATTCTTGGCTACGAGACCCAGGCACAAGTTTACCGTTTGAAAATATTATCTAATCTTGTTCATATATATCAAATACACATTAAGTGTAAGCTTCATTAGATTGATTACAGAATAACAAGCCCTGGTTCTGGAGTTCAAACCAAGCTGCAAGGGAATTTAAAATATGCTAGGGGTAGATTTATGTACTTGTAAATTATAACAATTAGCCTTGCACAGTACATGTAAATACCCTGAGCCAACAGCATTTTCTAGAACAGCTGATAGATATGAAAATGGTGTCTTATTAATTAATATAATTTTTTTCTCTTCAACAAAAAAAAATCATGGCCAAAATGCAAAAAAATCACAAAGGGATTTATGGG